TGGGAGAGAAGTCATTCGAGCACAGGAGAGAATATCTTAGTAATCTCAGGGAAGTGACTTGTGAGCAGATTAAGCTGTCTACGCACGAGATTTGTCAGAGTCGAGATCTTGATAGGACCGATCAATACTGTAGTATCGATTAACGTATATCTGAAGGGAGCTTAGTTGATCTTATCCCCTCAGTAGAGACGGGTCGGATTTTAAATCGTCCTTATGATTTGTCGACCAGACAGTTGAGCGAGGTTCTGGCCGAGTAGACTGCCGAATAGATGGTCGAGCCGACTATTTGAGGAGTCATCTTGATCATGAGGTGGGTGGACTCTTGAGGAGTCATCTTGATCATGAGAGGTCGACTGACCCCGCACTTCATGTCGGCAAAGATGACTCGTTTGCTCAACTGGTCGATAGATTTGTTTTTTGCTGGGCTTGGGCCATAGCTCTTTTGGGCCTATGAAGACATAACTTATTGATATTTTCATCTTTAGATGGTGAATTACCATAACAATGGACATTTTCTAAATTTTAGATTTTTTTTTCGTCACTTTCTCATTTGCAATAGAAATATGTTAATTCTTTTGAAGGATATATCTGAACATTCTGATAGTATCTCCATACGTAATTCATTGTATTCTTTTACTCTATAAATATTATTAACATGTAAAGACTGTCTCGCGTGCGAGACAGCAAAGACTGTCTCGCGTGCGAGACAGCCCATACTTGTGTTCTTCTGCCTTGGATGATTTCCTCTTGAGCTGTATTTGGATATCTTTTAGCATTTTTTGACGCCTACAATTATATTATAGTCTTTTATCATTTTTATGGATTTAAACTTCTACCAATTAATGTTACTAATGTGTTTTGCTACTCCAACTAATTAATAAAATTTTATACAGTTGTTTTAATTTATATGGTAATGATAATTTTTAAGCTATAATATTTTTTAAATTTTTATTCCCTAATCAGATATTTTTAATCAATTCTTATTGCTTTTGTTTACCAGTATCAATTTAGACTAAGAGATTAATGTTTCTAAATTATAATCAATTAATGCTAAGCTATTATATTATAGTCTTTTATCATTTTAATAGATTTAAACATCTATCAATTAATGTTACTAATGTGTTTTGTTGCTCTAACTTATTAGTAAAATTTTATGCAATTACTTTAATTTATATGGTAACAATAATTTTTAAGGTATAATATTTTTTAAATTTTTTATTCCCTAATCAGATATTTTTAATCAATTCTTATTGCTTTTGTTTACCAGTATCAATTTAGACTATCTTTAGATGCTGAAAATGGATAGTAAACCCCAAATTAGAAATTAAATATACATATATCTTAATGAAAGAGTACCTAACAACTACACTTTTTTTGCCAAGTTTTAAAATTTCAGCCTTTTTATGGTTTTAAAGTTTGAGGGTGTGATTTGTAATTTTTAAAACTTTAGGAGTATTTTGTAAAAAATACTTTTAAGTTTGGTAGTTGTAACTTCTATGTTTTATTTGTCAGTGGTAATTTTTAAATGTCACTATATTTCTTACAACTCTGAAATTTTAAGGCTGCTTTTTGCAATTGTTAAAACTGTAGATTAAGTTTTTAAAAATTTAAATTTTAGCGGTCTGCCAATAGTTTTCAGATTTCATGTGTACTGGTTATAAATTTTAAAAATAAAGTTTTTTTTAATTTTTAAATTTTGAAAGAGTTTTTTCTACAACATTTGTAACTTTGAGGTTAATATCGGTAAATTTTAAAATTTTAAGTGCATGAGGGTAATCTCTTTAATTCATCTTTTGTTATTTGTAAATTTTAAATTTTTTAAAATTTTGAGGTTGTTTTTTATAATTTAAACTTTTGAGTGTGTTTCTATAAATTTTGAGACATTGAGCGTGTTAATTAAAATTTTTAAATTCTTGGGAGGCTACTATTAATTTCTTGATATTATGTTTGTTGCTTTAAGTTTTAAAATATTAAAAAAAATTAGGTGCGTTATGGTAATCCCTTGAATTCATCTATGTTATTTGCAAGTTTTAAAATTTTAGAATTTTAGATGCTTATTTGTAATTTGAACTTTTGAGGGTGCTTTATAATTTTTGAGATATTGAGATGTTAACCAAATATTTTAAATTCTTTGCAAACTGCCGTTAATTTCTTGATTGTTAAATTCTTCACAATATTAACCATAGAAAGCTTTTCCTGGACTCGTGCTTTTAAAAGGAGTATGATATGATTTACTCCGATGTGGTTTCGAATAATGTTTTGTTGAGTATTTATTGATTTATTAACAATTACTTGCCAATTGTAGAAGTTTGGGAAAATTTTAGCCCTTTTTTGATGTTTTACCTTAATCACTATTGAATAGGGGTGGTAAACGATCGAATCGAATCGAATACTAAGGTGTTTGTATTTGTATTTGTTTAAAATTATTGAATTCGAATGCGGACTCTAATATTTATATATCTAGTTTTTCGAATTCGAACTCGAATACTTGGTATTTGATAAATATTCATGAATATTTATGAATACTTATCGAATATTAGAGTATATTTATTCTGCTAAAAATTTTGATTTTCAAATAATATTAAAATTTATAAATAAAAATTATTCCTTTTTAATATATGATGTATATATATTTAAATCAAAATTTTAATTAGAAAATAGATTTAAGATTATTTTAGACTTAAAATCAGTATATAAAAGTTAAGTAGAAATGATAAGTGAATTAAAAATATGACATCATATGTGCAATAATACAAATAATAAGCTGTGATTAAATTTTAAACGAATATTTAATAGACAAACGAATCGAATATACATCTGGTTAAATTCTGTTCGTTAGTAAACTCGAATACTAAAAAATATTTGTTTAGTAGTAAATGAACTACCGAATCGAATATGATCGAATAGTAATTCGAACAATTATCGAACTATTTGTTAATTATTTGGTTCATTTCCACCCCTACTATTGAATAGTGTTTTGTTGAGCAATTATAATTACTTGCCAATTGCATAAGCTTGGGGGGAATTTTCTACCCTACTTTGATATTTTAAAATTAATTACTTCGATTTGCTGTTGAAAAATTTTCTTGAGCAGTTATGGATATATTACCAAGCACTTTCTATAATTATTATAATTATAAATTAACTATTTTCTATTTAGCAATCTACTTTATAATGAAACAACTAATTTTTCAATTATTAGATACACGATATTCACTTGGTTGGAAGCAGCCTAATCGACTTCGTGCTTGAAGGTTCTTATCTATTATACTAATTTGCGGTCCGTGCAAAGCACGACGATAATTTTTTTCATGCTACAGCAATCGTGTTTCTTAAATGCTACAGTAATTTTTGAATTGCTATAGCATCTCACATTTTGAAAATGCTACAGTGTTCCTGTGCTACGGTAATAATGGTACTTTTCATAACAGCAATCGTAAGTTCCTCGAATTGCTAATTGCTACAGTGTTCCAGTGTGCTACAGTGATAATACTGCTGTTCATGCTGCAGTAAATATTTTACTGTTGAATTTACGGTAGCATGAATAGGAATTCTCTGATCCTCCTATTTGTATAAAGGAATAGATATACTAATTTAGATGATTTACCATTAGGGTAATTTGCGCATAACTTCCCTGATACATACATTGAGTTGCACTAATCCCTCCTTTAACTCAATTTGTAGCAATTAACACTACGCACTAATAAATACGTTGAGGGGGTTTAGTGACAATGAAAGTTTAGATGAGGGGTAGCGTGAACATACCCATTTATTTATACCCTTAATTAACACTACGCACAAAATTTTTAAAATTTGCCAAATACTCTCAATTGGAGAGGATTTGGCATATCCCATAAATAAATATGTTTATCTCTCTTTTTATATATTTGAATTTTGAGAGCTGAGAATGGACGCGAGACGGCGACGGACATGAGACTATGACGGTGACTGCGATGGCGATGGTGACGGACATGAGACGATGACGGGCACGAGAAGGGCGACAACTGTGACGACGACGGACACGAGACGACGACGGGCACGAGAAGGGGGAAATTGAGTTTTTCAGTTAAGGCTCAGAGATGGAAAGGGGAAAGAAAAGGAGAGAGAGAGAGAGAGAGAGAGAGAGAGAGAGAGAGAGAGAGAGAGAGAGAGGTACTAGTTTAAGTGGGGTTATTGAAAGGGGTATTTTGGGTTTTTTATCATGTTTGTGTATAAATACAAGTCCTCTACCTACTGTTGTATTTTGGAAATTAGGTTTAAAAGCAACAAGAAAAAATAATTGGGTTTAAGAATACAAGCAATAGTGATTGAGTTTTGAGGTAAAATTGAGTAAACAAATGAGGCTAGAAATAAAACTCCATAATGATATCACTAGATGGTGACGTAAAATCCATCATGGGATATGGACTAATCGACTCGGCAAATTCATGATCTGTAAAATACATCTTATTTAAAATATTATCAAATGTATATTGTGAAATTTTCGACATAGTTTAGAGAGTATTTTATGATGTGTTTGGCAATCACTCAAAAACTGGGCCACGTTCAACCCTAGCCCAGTTCCAATCTAAACCAATTTAGTGTTGAACCACCACCCCTTGGTCCAACACCAAACTGGTTTTATGACCTCTTTTTGGCCTAAGAAAAATTGAGCCAAAACCGGCTTATTTGTTGCCAATCAAAAGCAAACTTAAAACCGTGTCAGATTCAATCTTGGTCTCGTTTTATGAGTTTGCCAAATACGCTCCAAGGTTATGACTCAAACTAGTTTAATATGTTGTTTTTTTAAACAACTTAACAACCGTCCATTTTGAACATAGCTAAAATAATAATTATAAATTTTAAAATAATATAATTCTTTGTTACCTATAGATCGGGACGAGTGCAAATCATAATGGATGGTGCCCATCATCTTATGAGGTAACTTATTAGGCAAGCAATTGATTCATGATCACTTGCAAAATTACTAAGATCACAAGAACAATTCATAAGACCTTAAAAGAACCAACAGTCGTTACATTTATCTTTATTTTCTTCTTCCACCATGGCAAACACGCAACATATGCATAGGTTCACGCGTGCATGCACGCGCGCACAGACAGAAGCTTTACATCCCCAGTTCATCTTCATTTCTCTGTCATACCAAGCATTTTCACCCCCTGCAAACTGCCACAACATACCAAAAAAGAAAAATATTCTTAGTATATAGATGAGAGACATATATATAAGCTAAGGTTAATATTAACCTCTGGCTGAGGAGCGTGAGTAATCGCTTATTGCTAAATTTGGGAAATTGCAGCTTATCACATAGAAGCGGATGAGAGATGATCACGTTGTTGATCTCAGACACGGCCATGGCCCTTAATGACTTCACATGACTCTCAATAGACAAAGCAGAGTCCTCCCTGATAAGAAAATAAAAAAAAAACGGATAAAACTCTGAAAATTTACATGCAACCAGTATATTGTGACGTGTACCTCGGAGTAGTTAGATATTGAGTCATCTCCTTGTAAAGCTGCGGATATGTCGGTTGGAAGACCCTTAGTTCCTTGTTAAGGATATCCAAAGCTTTTACTCTATCTTCCCTACATTAATCAATAATCAAGAATATCACGATCGAATAAGAGAATTTTGTATTGTAAGAAAGAAATATGTTGCTCACATACGGATTAAATGTTGTGTCACCTGATTATTGATTCAAAATACTTATGCCAACGGAGATGGAAGAAGAGCATCAACGATTGCGTGCTCTCATCCATCTTAATGAATCCAGAGACATAATTCTCTGCCTCGTCCCAGTCTCCGACTAGTATAGTGTCCTCGAAGTATTTCATATTGAAGTAGACACCTGACTCCTTCTCCAACCTGAAAAATAATGTATAACCACAGTAAGATTCATTTAAAAGAAAGAAAGAAAAGAATAGAGAAAATCATTAGGTACGTTCAGCTAAGTTACTTGTGGACAGTCTCTGAGAATTTTCCCTCATCCAATAATTGGAGAATGAGAAAGATGAGGTCCCTCTTCAGATCGGGTGGATTGTTAGTTGGCATTCTAGAGACTCGAGGCGTACGAGTGGAGGAGGTCTCCGCCATAGAAACTGTCGGCTTGTAACCAAGGCACAAATCAAGATTCAAGGACATGTCTGAATCTGCATTTTTCTTCATTTGCCTCGCTGTCTTCTCCTGTAGTATGACAGTATACTGGTTTCTCTATATATTTGTATAGTGAAGGGATGATGAAGGGGTGTGGATGAATAAGGAAGGAAATTACAAATTGAAAAAGGTTAATGGAATCTGGACACTGGGAAAAACAGGAATCCAGGCATGCATTCGTTGTTCCTACAAAATGTATATAGCGCACATACCCATTTTCTGAAACTAGAATTATTTTTAAATCCACCTAGTTTGAAATTTATATTACAACCAATACACTGATGTCTTTTTTGCACTGATTATAAATTCAAAACACAAAATATATATTTGATAACACACAAATAACCTTATGATGCCTTTTTTGAGTCTTCATGATTTATTTTTTTCCTCATCGGCAAGCAAGTTTTCTTACATGTTGGAACTCAGGAATTTAATTGATACTTACGAGACTTAGGTCAATAAAGATGCGTAATTTTGAAAGAGGAAGTTTGGACTAGGATTCACCATCAATGATGAGAAAGAATATGCACTGAGAAAATTAGAAATTCAAAATTCAAGATTGAGTGCTAAACTTCATCCAAATTATGACAAAGTTCGCCTGGTAACTCATGCTGATTACTTTGTGAGCATCTTACCTATCCACATGCACCGCGACAGTATGTATGACAGATTTGATATCCTATTTGTACCAAAAGAATGATTCTAATGCTGCACATTATGATAATAGGGTAATAATTTCAATAACCTGGTGTCAGGGAATAACATTTTCAAAGTTAATTCAGAGGGTGGACGTGGAACCACAACTTTGATTTATATATCCATATTCTACGATGCACTGCTGTTTAGATGTCTTGTGCTATGATTTCAAAGTTCAGAATGTTCTTTCAAAGTTTCATGTAGAGGATTTGACCCGTGACTTTTCTAAAATGGAGGAGTTTTTCTTTTTTTTCTTTTTTTTTAGAAAACAATAGTAGGAAAAAGTAGCAAAAATAGAATAATTCGCCGTTGCCGGGGATCGAACCCGGGTCACCCGCGTGACAGGCGGGAATACTCACCACTATACTACAACGACTTGTTATTCTTGTAGCAAATAAAGATCTTAAAGAAAGCAAAAACGTCATCGACCGTTTTCCTTGTAATTCGAAGATTGTGGACTTGGAGAAAAACTAAGTCGTTTCTTAAAATCACCAAATCTAAGATTTATTTAACATCATATTTTTAGAGAATCTTTCCATCTCAATTTTATAAGCCTACAGCTTCAGTGCTCCATAATGATTAGTTAGAGCAATGATGGCATATCCGTAAATAAATTTCTTAAAAATACCTCTCACAATTCTAAGTAGATAGATTTGACAGTTATGAGGTGTTCCACACCCAAAATTGTAATTAACTATGGGTAAACAGGTTATTTTAGGAAATTTAATTTTTGGGAGAAACAGAATTTATCATTAATTAGAATTCTTTAATTAACTATTAAAACTAAAGCTTTTCTCCGCACTTTCCATTAGAAGAAACCGGTCGGCCTCCAAAAAATCTCGTGAAGAGAAAGAGAATGCCATGAAAGGTACCTCTTATTTTTCCTTTTTTTAAAAATTTAATTATATAGTATGATGTAGTTGTTAAGCCCTTAAATTATTTAATTATATAGTATGATGTAGTTGTTAAGCCCTTAAATTTCTCGTTCTTCAAATCAGTAATCATTCATTTTTCTATATAAAGATAGATTTTCTTTTAAGCCCTTAAATTTCTCGTTCTTCAAATCAGTAATCATTCATTTTTCTATATAAAGATAGATTTTCTTTTAGAAATAGACTGCCTGGCGCGAGGAGGGTTCAATTGGTTTCTAATTAACCTCATTCGTTAGATTGAGAAGTAAATTTGATTGAATGGAAAAAAATTGCAAACCGTGCAGGACATGTATTTTCTATTAGTATGCAAAAATAAGAGAAACTACAAGTAAGGAAATTCAACTGGTTTGTGCTAATAAAGCAATAGATTTGCATACAAATGGGTGACATATAATTTTCCCATCAAAGACTTAACCCAAAAATATGGGTAAAATATACGAACAATGTTGCTATGTTTTTGAAATTTACACAAGTTTAGGATAGAAAGAGATTTTTGAAAGACTAACATACCCTTTCTTATTTTAGCTAATTTGTTATTTTTGTCAATTTAAAAATTTAAAAAAAAAACTATTTTTGGAGCACCGAAGCAAACCTCATTTTATAATTAAACAATCACCTTCACTATTTTATTAACACAAGTTAATAATTAACTAATTCCGATTAGAAAACATATTTATTGAATTTAAATTTTTATGTACAGCATGATGTATGGGTGCAATATGAAAAATTAGTACATAAATAACAACCAAAGGTAGTGAAATGCCGAAAGAATTTAGTATACCTTCAGTTACGAACTTAATATTCAATCTCTTTATTATAAGGAATAAAACAAAGAATGAGCGTGGTACAGTGTGTATAGGGGAAAAAATATTTTCTGTACCAAGCCAAACTTCTTATTATTCATTCAATCAATAAGCACGATCACGCAGTAAAAGGAAATAGGAAACAAAAACAACCGGAGTTTAAATCCTGAAGAAGCAAACCTGCAGAGTACTTTCTTCACTTGATAATATTTGCAAAAAGAAAAGAAGAAGAAGAAGAAGAAGAAGAAGAAGAAGTACATCATACATCCAAAGGAACAGAGCAAACAATCAATTTTGCTAAGATGTTTAAAAAACTAGAGGTTGGAGAAAAGATCACTACTCCTATTAACTTGACTGTTCAATTGCATTCCCAGCAAAACCTATACATAAAACTGAACAACACCCATTTTATAATACAAAAAATAAAGATATTTCAAAAAAAAAAAGAATTCAACCATGAAAAGAAAAAGAAATATCCACTCGCTATGTACTGCGGACATTTACCCTTCAACTATAGCAATAGCACTATCGCCGATTGTCAGCTTCTCTTGCTCCACTTTCTCTTCTTCATTAAGGAGCTCCTCCACCAATCCATCCCAATCACTCCTGCTGCTGGATTTTGAAACACTAGACAAGCTTTTCTTGTCTAAAGGAGACAAGGAGCTGTTTTCTTCGCAAAATTCTCCAGGGGAAGCCACATAGGGTACATCCAGAAGCAGTGCTCTTTCCATTGCATCCTTGTGCTCTGTTTCGAGAGAGTGATTTCTCTCCATCTTTTGCTGTGTTGGAGGGGTCTTCATCTTATCAGCTTGCTCCATTATCTGAAAATTCACATAAATGTTTTATATGCCCATACTCATATGAAGTTCTTCAAAGGAATATAAACATAATGTTAATAAAATTATAATCCTCAACGCATGTCATGGCTTCGAAATTTTAATGCAGTTACAGAGATTTTAGGACAAAATACCATGATATCCTTTATGAAATTGATATGATCGATTCTCTCAATTAGGAGAAAAAAAGATAGAAAAAGAGGTCAAACCGGCAAAACAATTTTAAGGCATGTACGCTGCATTGATAGATGAGTCAACAAAAAGGTTACACCTTATTTCACCTCCGAATGGTGTAACTTAGTCAAACAATCACTTTGATTTATAACCCTTTTGTACCAAGTAAATTGTTCCCTAAAAAATCTGTTATGTAATTTCTCTGAATTACATTGTTAATTGTATCTTCATTTATTTGCCCTAATAGATTTTTTTTATTTCCAACTCCTGACAAATTATCATTGTTGTATCCTTCTGCACTTCAGTCGCAAGGATAACCCCCCCCCCAGAAAACATCTTCTCTGTTATTGAATACTACAAGGTAAAGGCTAAGATAAATTTGTTTTACAGAAATCTCACTCCACTTTTCTGGTTGCAAATAGATGTTTTCATATTTACAAAGCTAATATGAAGATGTGAAAAATCTTTCAAAATAAAAAAAATTAAAACCTTCACCGAAAATAAGATTATATAGAAATTTGTACTAAATAACCTATACTTAATTGCTATGTAATGAAACATTAGGATCAAACAGGTAGATTCAAAGGATGTGAGTTAACCCCTGTGCTAAGGAAATATCCTACAGGAGAAATTCTTCTACACAGATGGAACCCACATGACTGATATCATTGTAATTGACAAGAACAAATGCCATTATTGTCATGTTATCTTGAAATAAATATAAATGTAAATTAATTAAATTGTCGAGGAACATGAAATTTACTTACTTCTAGAGCCTTTTGCGCCTCTTGCTCAATCCATACAATTCTATGGTCACAAATTGCATTGCAAGAAAGCACAATATGTTCAAATCTCCCTTCTACTGGAATGGCAGTCCTCACCTCTGGAGGTAATCTCACAGAACTGAATTTTCAAAAAAAAAAAAATCAATATATAAAAGATCCAGAAAATCCATCCTAGAGGTTTGTTCTAAGACAGCTAGAAGTTAGGTGTACATGAATGCACATGGATATTATACATAGAACAGAAGCATGTCCCAAGATGTATAATTGATTCGTTATATCAAAAATCCATGCTCCTGCTCATGTCTAATTAACCCAGTCATGATGCCAACTTCAGGTAAACAATCAACACACAATGGAGGAAGAATGGGGCATCAGATTGACATTTCTTCACCTTGGACATTGAGAAAACTTAAATTGAAGCTACCGATCTGCTTACATCTTTACCTATTAGTTTCACACAGTACTAGTCAGTAGCGGCATGCACATGGCGATTAGCCTCATTCTCATGGGTTATTTTATTCCATTTCATTGAATATCAATTTCTCGATCTACACAATCCATTGATAAATCAAAGCTACGTATTCTACAAGTAACAAGGATAGTTTTAGCTTTCTCCTACACAATTACATATTCGAATGATACGTGGATTATATTTGATAGGTAGGTCACTTATATTACTCCAAATATAAGGAACTGAAAGCAAGCTTATGTCCTATAACTACTTGTAATGTTTGTAAAGTCATTAGTGAAGCAAGTTGTTCAGCCTAAAGCTACTGGTTCTGTAGCTCATTCATTCTCTGCAAGAAAGGCTCGAAAGATCATGATCATGAGTAGTACATAATTGTTCCACTTTCACAACAGATAAATAATTGTGAAGATCAAATCAGAACCCCTTGAAACCTGATGACATTGTCATGCCATGTCAAAAACCATTTTACCTAAGAACTATAGTTGTGGTGTTGTGCACTAATAATACATATATCAAGCTAAAACAACTTTCAATAGTCAACACTCTTCACATTTGTTATGAAACAAAAATTCTAGCTATTTCCTGTTGTTGTAGTCCAATCAAGGAAAACATGAGTAATCTTCTAAGTACAAACCCACAATGCAAATAACAATCTTTAAATCACATACCTGCAAGATTTTCTCTCAACGATATGAAACATCCTCCCAGGAGCATAAAACCTCTTCGGATCTTTCAGCTTCTTCTCTTCCGACGTAAATGTATCCCTCATACAAGCTATAACCAACAAGCAAGGCAAACTGTCCAAAACCATTAACACCTTAATCCCAAAATGACAGCACTTCCCATTGCCTACCCATAAACAAATAAAACCAGCGTACAATGTGTTTCTCACCAGAATATCGACCTGAAAATATGCTCCAATGATGTAGGTGTCCTCGGCAAGAAATCATCCTGGAACCAAAAACAAAGTTTAAAAATATAGGTTGGTATAAAATAACAACTTTACAAGAGAGAAAATCCTGATTTGAAATAACAAATTAGTTTATGACAACTCAAATTTTAGCTATATCAAGAAACAAATCAAGACAAATTAGCTGCCTGCAACACATTACACGTGTGCTAAATTTGTTGCCTACTATGCAGAGGAACAGTGCACTCTTGAAGTCATTATTAGCTATCTTTTACATGGTGGACGTATGAAAAATGCAAACATGTGGAAGATAACTAACATAACTTCAATTAGGTCTACTTTCTTCCAACAGTAACCAACACAAGGATGAATAACATATCGTGGGAAGCTAATGTACGATTATAAATCATGATTTTCTCCCTTATAAATTACCTGCAACACAACAGAATGCACGACATCAGCATATTTCACGGCGAGCCCCAGCGACAAACATCTGGGAGGGCGCAATCGCGTACGCCTGCTAAGCCAGACTGCTCCTCTCAATCCCCCGCAAACCGCTAATGCAAAATAATTCAGCCGCCAACAACCGCCATCAGCGCCGCGCACGCTCGCCAGCAACCAAAGCGAGTGCGCGCTGAACACAAGCTTGTACTCATCCCCAGCACTCCTCCAACGCCCAGTCGGCAATCGTCATTCCGCCTCCCGATTCAGGCACCCAGACCGCCGCCTTCCAATGCAAGCCCCGGTGGCACGAACCCATCGTCGAAGCAACAGCTGGTGGGTGTCATCAGAGACTCTATAGTCCTCCATCATGGACCGCAAATTGAGGGCCCCGCCCGCCCCCCCCCCCCCCCCCCCCCCCCCCGCCCGCGGTCGCTGCGACCGGCAAACGAGCTCCATTTTATTTTTTTTTGTTGAGCCTCGAGCGAGTAGAGGATGTAAGGGGGGATCGGCCGCCGACGTCGGAGTAGGCGGCGCGTTTGAGAGACGGCGGCGGGGTCCATAGGTATCCGTTGGGGGACGGGGGCCCACTTGGGGCTGAAAGGTCGGGCTCTGTAGACTGAGAAGGACGGCACGTACGGCGCAGAAAGGATGGGGGAGAAGGCGGGGACGCGGCGGGGGCAGGAAGGCGCTGTCGTGGCGCCGACGATGGGTGGCCAGCGGCGGAAAGGCCCAAGGCGGGTGAAGCCCAGACAGAAGAGGCACTCGATGACGGAGGACATGATGTGGGGGGTGATCTAATTCTAGAGGTAGTTAATCCGGTCATTAACTGCATTTTTATTTTGCGCTGATTTTGGGTTATTCTTGAATGGAATTTCGTTTGAATATTATGGTAGTCGGGAAGGAGAGGAAGAAGGTTCTGATTGCTTCTGGAAGAAGGGACGTAGGCGGAGACGCGGAGGGATGACTTCGGCTTTGCGCAGCCTGCGAGATCTTTGAGTTCGAACTCAGTTGGGATTTATTTTGGACCGGACTGTTTCGGCGGCGGCCTGGGGG